TTATATTGTTGTTAATAATAATTTAATTAAAGCAACAAAACAACATGAAGAGCTGGTTGGGAGCCAAAAGAGCTGGATCTTTGTAGTGAGTCGAGCTGAAAGACCCGGTTCTCTAAAAAGAGTCGGAATTCCCATCACTAGTGCACTCAAATGGTGTCGAGTCAACTAGCGCCACCTGTGGCCAAGTGCCATAGTCTACAGCCAGAGTAACCTGTGACACACATCTTCCCCGACGTTTGAATTTGTTTCATACACAATACATTTGTAACTTTCAATTTTTTCTCTTTTTGCGTCTTGCAAATAAACCTTTAAACTGAATGAAATCATTATGTATTTATTTACATCAGTAAGAAATGCCAAATTATATTCACAAAGAGAGTTGGTAGTTATATACAGTTTATATACGTATGGTCAATTTAATAAATATTTGTAAGGAGATGGCATTTACTGTGAATTTACAGTGATTAGTTACACTGTGATCGGTAATCAATAGACCCAGTGTGATTGAGTCGACCCTGTGAGAGTGGGTGGATTTAAGAAAGTGAGTGACACAGGTGTGTCAGTTGGTTTGTCATCTGTTTTTGAGTGTGGAGGAGAGTTAGAAAACTTTCTTTTTAATGCTAAGTTAGGAATATTCATGATTTAATTTGCAAAACTTGCATATGATCTCCAGTTTGTAGCAGATCTACTGACTATCATATAGCAACTGGAGCAGATTCAAATGTTGTTCAGTTCATTACTGCCACCCGGAAACATGTTGAAAGATGCAATGCCAGCGATGTGGAATGTAAAGACCAAAACCAGTCATTGTTAGAATAGAATGGAATAATCCTTTAATTGTCCTACAAGGGGAAATTTGGTTGTAACAGTAGGAAGAAAAACACATATACAAACAAACAGGACACAGAACAGAAACACACAATTTTTAAACAAATTTACTTCAAGAACAATAGTTACCAAAAACAGAGTACTGTACAGTTACTAAAATTAAATACAGATAAGAGGCAAACCCGGGTTGTAGTTTGAATCGATTGATAAAATAGTGCAGTTACAGCGCTGATGTAAACATCTATGTTTGTTGGGAGCAGTGTTGATTGTACAGTCTGACACTGCAGGGAGGAAGGACCTGCAGAAACGCTCCTTCATGCATCGAGGATGCAGCAGTCTGTCACTGAAGCAGCTCTGCAGCAACATCTACATGCATGGGCTGGGAGACTCTGTCCATCAGAGATGTTATTTTGGCCAGAGTCCTTCTGTCTCCCACCACCTGCACTGGGTCCAGAGTGCATCCCAGAACAGAGCTGGCCTTCCTGATGAGTTTATCCAACCTCTTCCTCTCATCTGTCGATAAACTGCTGCTCCAACATACCTCACTGTAAAAATGACAGATGCCACCACAGAGTCATAGGAGGTCTTTAGAAGCGCTCCCTGGACTCCAAATGACCTCAGCCGCAGTGTTGTGGCTCCAGTCCAGTTTATTCAAGTGAACACCCAGGTACCTATACAGGTGAGGGCTCATCACAGTCCTCACCTGTAGGTGGCAGCATGGGGAGTTGATGGAGAGGTCTGCAGCGTAGAGGGTGAAAGACAACAGGGATCATTTTTTGTCTGTTCATTATACAGTCAGATTAGCTTGTGAGAACCATCTCTATCACCATGTTTGAATTCATAGGGAACTAAACTTTTTTGTTGTTGTTGCCACTGAGGAGAGTAGTAATTTTTGTTTGATAATCCAATGTGTTACGAACAACAGTTGTCTTTTTCTCAGGGATGTGACTGCTTTCTCTTCTTGTATTATAAGGTTTGATGTAGGAACTTTTGCACTGGAGACAGTGGCTGAGACTTTGGTCCTGATTTGTTCTGATTTAGGTTGTGGTAAATTATTAATCTTTATGGTGGTTTCCCTGGCTGTGATGAGCTCCACTATGGGCAGCAGTTGTGGAAATGTGGCAAAATTGAGTCTTTTGGCTGGCATAGTGTAAGCTCCTTAAATTACCACAATCTGGATGCCTGAGAACCTTCACAGAGACTGATAGGTTTGTAGCTTGAACCTATTCGCTGGAACGTTGAAG